TTTTTCTCCTCTGAAGGTTCGCTCCTCCTCTAACTCCCCTTCCTCTATACTTCTCCGTCTCTTCTGTGGTGATCTCTGTTGGTATTGGGGTTTGTGTTTGACTCTGTTCCTCAAGTTCCAAAAATCCCCTTCCTGAGGGGTTCTGGCTAATGTCTCGAATCTATTGGAGATAGGTATATGTGACAACCTCCTTGTACTTTTACGGATTTTACTTTGGGCCGTTAAAAACTCGTCAGATCTTGCCCTTCTTTCTGTTCTTATTGGGGTTCTGATATTATCTTGGATATATGGCCTCGACACATGTGGTTCTCTTGTTTTCATGCTCGAAACCTTAGGACGGTTCCATTCATTAGTGTGATTGGTTGTCCTGTATTCTGTTCTATTTCTAGGCCCATTTTGGAAATTGGGTTCATGGTACCTGTTTCGGATGTTATTTTGATAGTGTCTGACTGAGTGTTGTGTTTTATTTCTATCGCCTTGTCTATATATGGGCTGTTTTCTATTTCCATATGTGTAAGCTTCATTCTTATTGTAATCAGTCCTATCACGTGTGTATTTTTTCTTTTTAATTTGGATTGTATCTTTTTCTACTTTTTCTAGGGTGTGTTGTAAATTTTCGGTGATTTTCCTATATTTCTCGGAATTAGTGTGATTTAATAAAATTTTTTGTTCCTTATTGATTTCTGCATCAAGTTTTTCCAAATTATACTCTCTTCGCTTAATTAAAGTTCTCATCATTGTGAATGAAAAAGAATCTAACATCACTGACCATTCATCCATAAATGTTTTGTCATCTTGATCAAAGGAGGGAAACTTGGAGAGCCTCAAACCTCTCGGAGTTATTTTATCTCTGATGTATTTTTCTAGGGTAGCTATTTCCCATTTAATTCGTATTTCTTTACTTAAGAGTCTCTCCAAATTTCTCTGGCAATCTGAGATGGATCTCTCCTCACCTATCTCCAATAGATTCGAGACCTTAGCCAGAACCCCTCAGGAAGGGGATTTTTGGAACTTGAGGAACAGAGTCAAACACAAACCCCAATACCAACAGAGATCACCACAGAAGAGACGGAGAAGTATAGAGGAAGGGGAGTTAGAGGAGGAGCGAACCTTCAGAGGAGAAAAAAGAGACAGACGAAACCAGTAAATATGAAAGATAGAGAAAAACAAGCAGGGATTTTCAATCTAACACCATATGTCTTGAATTCTCCTCAAATCAAATTGTTACAGAAGGGTTTGAAATTCGCACCAACTAAAAAGCTAAATAAATTTGAGACATATGTTGATTTAAATAAATTTACGAGGACATTATGTCTAAAGAAATTTTTCTACAAGAACCCTATTTTAACTAATTCTGAAGATACACAACATGATGTCTATAAACATACTAACTTGAAAGAAAAATCAAAGTTCTATCCCAAAAACTTAATATCAGGTGAAATGGTAACATTTGAAAAATTAGTGATGAGAGATATAAATAAAATTAAAGAACCCAATAAACATCAACAGAACCTCACCAGGAAAGAGTGTATGGCCCTGAAGAAATTCCAGAAAGATAATTCAATAATTATAAAACCAGCCGATAAGGGGGGGGGTGTAGTTTTAATGACATTAGATGACTATAACAAGGAATCATACAAATTACTGGAGGACACCAATACCTATATTAAATTAGGAGCAGATCCTACAAAGAATCTCAAGGACAAATTCCATAATTACCTAAATGAAGGACTTACAAATGGGATCTTGAACCAAAAAGAGTTTAATTACTTAAAAATTGATTTCCCAAGAATTCCAGTACTATACCACCTCCCCAAAATCCACAAGAATCCCACTCAACCTCCAGGGAGGCCTATAGTCTCAGGCATTGGTTCTATGTCCTGTAGATTATCTGAGTATATAGACCAATGCTTGCAACCAATTGTTCAAGGAATACCCAGCTATCTGAAGGATACTGGGGATATATTAAGACACATAGAAAAATTGGTGTGGAACGAAAATTATTTTCTGTCCAATGCTGATGTGAGCTCCCTTTACACCAATATTGCACATGATAGGGGCTGTATGGCCACCAGGTTTTTCTTAGAGCAATCAGGTAATTTTCCCCCTGACCATATAGATTTTATTATGCAAGGGATTCTTTTAATTTTAACCAGCAATTATTTCTGGTACGATGGACATTTTTATTTACAGGCCTGTGGGACGGCGATGGGAACGAGGTTCGCGCCCAGCTATGCCAATCTTTTTATGGCATATTGGGAGCTCCAGTTTATCCATCATGGGGCGGGCTGGGCGACGGGCCTCGTTACCTATCGCCGTTACATAGATGACCTGTTTTTTATCTGGGAAGGAACAGAAGAATCACTAACCGATTTTATTAATACATTGAACAATAATGATTGGGGCATAGCCCTCACTACGGATTTTAACAAAACGAGAGTGAATTTTTTAGATCTTGACATTTTTATTGAAGATAATAAAATCAAAACTAGCACTCATTTTAAAAAAGTAGATGTGAATAGTTTCATTCACACCACGAGCTGTCATTTTACACCTTGGCTTAAGGGAATCCCCAAATCTCAATTTATCCGGATAAAAAGGAACTGCACTGAGGAAACTAAATTTATTGAACAGTCACATAAATTAGAAGGTAAAATGTTGGAAAAAGGATATAAACAAGATGATCTAACCAAAGATCTCAATCAAGTGATGGCAATTAAGAGAGAAACCCTATTAATAGATAAAGGGATTAATGAGAATAAAGAAAGATTTAATGATAATGGCAACATACCTATATTCTGTAATTACAGTCATGGTAACCGTCATTTAAGAAAAATTATTAATAGACACTGGTCAATCTTAAAGGAAGACCCAGTCCTGTTCACCATTCTACCAGACAAACCCAAGGTGATCTTTAGAGGGGCACCTAACATGAAAAAATTACTAGTAAGGAACCACATCAGAAAACCATGCAGCATAAAGCCAATTGATACTAGGAAAGGTTTCTTTGGTTGTGGAATATGTTTGGCGTGCAGGAACACTGGAAGCAAAAAAAGACATATAGGGAAATTCAAAAGTACTAAAGAAAATGAAGAGTTCAACATAAACAATCTCATCACTTGCCATTCAACCAATGTAGTGTACCTGTTGGAATGTCCATGTGGCCTCAAGTATGTGGGCCGCACAAAACGTAATCTGCATATTAGAATAGAAGAGCATATAAGGAACATTAAGAAGGGATATGAAGGACACAGTGTATCCAATCATTTCAAGATTACACACAACAGCAATCCTCAGGGGCTCATATTTATGGGCATACACAAAACTTTAGGAAATTGGAGAGGCGGTGATTTTAACAAAATTTTAGCTCAAAATGAAATGAGATGGATTTTTAGCCTTGGGACTTTACAACCCAAAGGTCTAAATATAGATTTCGAACTCTGTCATTTCCTTTAATTATCCTTAACATATATTCAACAGTATCATATTATATCTGTACCATCTGCAATATTATATCTGTACTATCAAAATTTATGCCATTTGGTTTTATGTCCTCTTATAAAATGAAGTCTTGAAATCCAATGGGAGAAGTTTGTCTTGATTGCACTCTCTCATCCAGTAAGTTTTTAATCGACCCCCATTTTGGTAATCCCTTTTATTTTATATTTGAGGGAAATCTCTCTGTTATTGTACCTATCTATCTATTTCACTTTGTTAATATGCATTCCGTTTTTTTTTTTTTTTTTTTTTTATTAACAATGACATTTGGGAAGATGTTGGAGGGCGGAAGTGATGTCACTTCCGCCAACCACTGCCCTGAATGGGTGCTATACATGACAGCCCCATCCAATCACCAATAGAATTTGTTCTAATCAAGTTTTTTAATTGATTGACAGGCAATTCAGCCAATGAAAGCCTTTTTACCACAGGTGATCAGTATAAAAAAAATAAATTTTGAGAAAGATAGCCCTATCCAACCACCAATAGAATAAGTTTTTTAACTGATTGACAGGCAATTCAGCCAATGCAAGCTTTTTTACCACAGGTGATCAATATAGGAAATTTGAAAAATACAGCACCATCCAACCACCAATAATAATCAAGCTTTTTGATTGATTGACAGGCAATTTAGCCAATGTAAGCTTTTTTACTACAGGTGATTAATATAAGAAATTTGAAAGAGACTCTGACCTTATGATTGGATAATCACACATCCTGTGACCTCAAAGGGAGGATCCGAATCAACTTTAGAGCACTTATAAAGTGGAAGATTCCTGAGGCTACTTCACAGCTACTGAGGAAGCTCATACAAGAGTGAAACGCGTTTAGCTGGAGTTTGGACTTTTATACTTGGACTTTCCATCATTTAGCTTATGTGCTTTTGAGAAGTCTAAATATTGTTTTTATTATTATTTTTTTATCTCTACAATAAATTATTTTTTTATATATTAGTCCATATAGTCCTTTCTAGCCTTCAGGAACACCATGTGGGGAATGCTATCCCAATAAATTAGCACATTGCCAACAAACCTCAGAGCCAGGAATTCAAGGCTCTGTCTAAGGTGAGCATATCTATTACTATCTCACTATATTGTATACACCATCTGTACAATACCATCTATGAGGTTCTCTCTCTCTGTTTGTTCCATATCTTCGGGAGAATATCGTTTGGGATAAAGGGGTGTGTTGCTGCCTCAAGAGCAAGAAGGAGTCACTTACGGAGCCAATAGCTTATAGGCTCCAACCCACGTGAGTGGTTTCAACCAATTGCTACCATTATTCATTTTTTATTTTTTGTAAACCATCTGCACTATATTCTCTCTTTTTGTTGTTTTACTTTGTATGTACATTTGGACACATTGTATCACTATGTTGGAGGGGTGAGTATACCCCCTCATTATTTATATATATATTCAATATAGCGCTCCACTTGCTGGTATATTGTTTATACCTTTTTTTCTTGTATTTTGCATTTTCTTGTATTTTGCACTTCATTGTGGATTAAGGTATTCCACTTTTTGTGTTGAGCTGCTTTTATTCAGGCACTTTAGTATATCACTCACTATCTCAGTAAGGGATAGTTTTTGTTTTCTTTGTAAGTAATCCACTCCAGCTCTCATAGTGAGGCTGGGTGGATTTCAATTAAAATAAAAAAAATTATCATTTGTGAGTTTTGGAGGAAGTGTGTGTGTGTGTGTGTGTGTGTATGTGTTGGTCAATAAGTGTGTCTGAGTAATAGTGTGTGTCAAGATCAGTGAGTGTGTGTATGTCATTGTTTGTCAGTGTATATGTGAGAGCGTGTCTGTCAATGAGTGTATGCATCTGCCTGTGAGTGTGTACATCTGTTAATGAGTGTGAGTATGTCAATGTGTGTCTGAGTAATAGTGTGTGTCTGTCAGAGTGTCAAATCAGTGAGTGTGTGTGTCATTGTTTGTCAGTGTATATGAGAGGGTGTCTGTCAATGAGTGTATGCATCTGTCAGTGAGTGTGTGTCTGTCAGTGTGTGTCTGAGTAAGTGTGTGTGTGCGTGTATGTCATTGTCAGTGTATATGAAAGTGTGTCTATCAGTGTGTGTGTGTCTGTCCGTCAGTGAAAGTGTGTGTTGGTTAAACAGTATGTGCGCCAATGACTGTATCATTTAGTGAGTGTATGTCAGTGACTGCATCAGTAAAAAAGTGCCTGTCAGTCAAAGTGCAGCCTTGACAGGATTGTCTGGGGAAATTTAAAAAATTAGGTAGAGGGGTGTCTGACCAGGGTCCTGCCTAGGGCAGCACAAATCGAAAATACAACACTGTGTGAAAGAGATTTAGAAGTGCTTTTTGAATGGTTTGCTTTGAGGGGGCCGTTTTTTGGACTGCACCACTCCTTTTGTAGACAGCTCTCCCCTTATAGTGTAATTGCCACACCACCTCATAACACACTGTCCTACATTCATATATATGTTGAGAGGCATGCATAAAGGTACAGGCCTGCCAGCTGTCCGAAGTCTGTTGGAACAGTGTCCTACTTTTGGGGACATCAGGGAATTGTTTCTAGTGTAGCATGGGCACATAATTAGATGTCTACTCTTTGCTAATGGCACTAAGAGCATGAGTAAGATACTGTAACAGCACTTTGTGCATAGTCTACCCATTATGGGTCTGATCGGTGTGGGTGGCTGTCAGCCTGTTGATATGCCCCTCCCCCCTTTTAGACAGTGTCCTTGACAGAGGTTGTGTCGTTGGCCTGCCCCCTTTAGACTCCCCCATCCACATCCTGCTTTGCATACCCCCCTATGTTTGGAGATATGAAGTGACAAGCTGCATTTGTATGATTATTATTTTATGATGTGCTGTTACTTTTTTCTTTTTGTTTTTAACTGTACCTTTTTTTAATGTAAATTAGTATTTTATAAAGATGTTACAGATGTGTCTCCCATCACTTTATGACAGAACACAAGAATATGTATTAATTCTTGTGCTGACCACACGTGCTGCTTTGTATTCCTCCCTCCTCCCCCCCCTTCTCTTTCCTTCGGTCTGTCCCAAGAGACAGCAAGATTGCTTTCCCTCTGGTTATTCCATAATAGTATAATGATTTCAACCACTTTTTAGGTTTCTCATGGAATTGGTAAACACAAATTTATAATGAGAAACATATCTAAAAAATTCCTGACTTTCTCTCTTTTGGAATTCTGTATATGATCGATGTGATATTTTTTTCCGAACACTTTCAGCAATTATTCTACCAGGAATGAAGCAAAGAGAGAGAGATCATGCTTTCTGCATATCTATATAATATCTATATATTATTTGTATTTTTCTTTTTTTGGTCATTTTGAATCTTCATAAAGTGACGTTTTATTTTGTTATTTTTAACTCAACTTGAATCTAAATGTATTCTTAAAAAAAATAAACTCTATATAATTATGTGTGTGTTTGTGTATATAATATATGTATGTATGTATGTGTAATATACACATAATATTATGTTTGTGTCTTTTCTGGCTATATCAATGGCAGCACAACAATGGGTAAGTCCTCCTGTCCCCAATTAGACAGAAACCTAATTATAATAAAGGTACCCACTCCTGTCCCCCATCCCCCAGTTTATATGTTCCTATCCCCTATAGTCCAAAATTGTTGGGAGTACTTGTACCTTTATTTTAATTAGGTTTCTGTTTAATTGGGGATGGGAGGAGCTATCCATCATTGTGCTGCCATGGCCTATGATCCTTTTATCCCAGCTGAACATATTAACACACTGACGTAAACACCGTGTATTATAGAACATCCCTATCAACAAGATTACAAGGATTTGAATCTGGCATTTTTCTTGTCATAATAAACCACATGATTTTTAATTTTTTTAAAGGTAGTTAGGGCCACAATTTAAGATTAGGTAGCAATGGACCTTTCCTGTCCTGCACTTTAACATAACTCTGTCAACATTGTTTTGAGTTTGCAGAACTGCATATTATAGTAATATGAATGTATGGTAATTCAGATAACGAAAGCAATGCTATTAAAAAAAAAAAAGAGAGAGAGAGAGAAAAACAAGAAATGACCGCACTGTTAGGCTTTTCAAAGGATATAATAAAATATAACCTTTAATTTACATAATTAAAAAATGAATAAATCATCGACGTTTCAGCCCAATATGAGGGCTTTCATCTGCCATCCTGATGAAAGCCCTCATATTGGGCTGAAACGTCAATGATTTATTCATTTTTTAATTATGTAAATTAAAAGTTTTATATTTTATTGTATCCTATAAAAGGCCTAAGACTGCAGCAATTTCTTGTTTTTTAACTATCTTGTGCCTGACCAGCACCGGGCATTTATTCTATACTCCAGGAGTGCAAGCATTTTTTTTTCTTTTTAATTGATACATATATTGCTCTTTTACTTCTCTCGCCATCAACTCAATTCAGTCAGTTAATTTGGATATGTTTGGTCGTGCTTTAACCACTACACCTCATTGTAATGGCTATGATCGTATATATTCCACCCTGTTTTTTTTTTGTTTTTTTTACTCTCAATCATTCTAACCTTTTTAAAAAAAATGTGAGTGCACATTGGCACATATTGTGATCTGCAATTTCTCACTTAGTTTCCAGTATATCAGTGCAACGGAAAAGGAGCACAGACTGTGGGTGCTAGGGAGTATCCCATTTATTATTTATGTATATATTGTTTTTTTGACAGAAAATCAGGGAGAAATGTCTATAAACTCATGGCTCCATAACTACTGTAATGATCTATAGTTTTTATGGTGCTGCGCGTGCTTTTAGTCCCCGATAATTTTCTATGTGAATGCTATTAGAGAGAGATTAGTGATTTTCTGACATAAGAGCTACTCATTTTATGGTTTGGCATAGAGAAATATTTTCACGCTGTTATCAGATTTCTTAAACTTGATTAGTGCTGTGTAACACGCAAACTGTAGATTGAAGTGATAAAAAAACATATTCTGTCTATTATGAATGTCTAATTTATGGGGCACCTAGAAATACATATTACATTCTTTTGCATAAGCAAGAAAGGAAGCACTATATACATGTAAACAAATTAAACCGAGGAACATGTTATCTTTCATTGAAATATGACCTAGATTTTAAACAGATGCTAAGCATGTGTGTTAGAGGGAGCCAAGTGCTCACTACTGCTAACATGCTCATCAAAAGAATACCATAAAATAGTGTTGTAACATCTGTAACAGATGCAGCTTTCCAATATCAAAGACCATCGAAACAAATTTCTACGTTAATATTGTAAAAAAAAAAAAGTCATTGCCAAAATACAACTGTAACGATCAAGCATAGTTAAAATGAATAATTTCTTCTCTCTACCCTTTTCACATTTTGTTATAGTTTGAATTCCCAACAGGGATAGGCAACTTTCAGCACTCCAGATGTTATGGACTACAGTTCCCATACTGCTGGCAAGATGATAGGAGATGTAGTCGACAACATCTGGAGTGCCAAAGGATGCCTATCCCTGAAGGATTTATAGGGATGGTTGTGTTGTATGAGTTTCGGCTCACACAATCTATAGTATAGTCCTAACACACCATCAAAAGCATTTTTTACTATTCCTAAACTATCGCTATGCATGCACACACTGCATAGTATCACTATGCTAACATTTATAGTGCTGCTTTGGAACATTGAAAAGCATCTCTCCACTGCAGCTTGGACTTGAGCAGGGATGCCATCAGAAATGTTGGGGCCCCTGACAAAGCGCAAGGTCTGGGCCCCTAGAGCCCACCCACGAGTCCGCCCACAAGGATGCAGTGTGTGTAGAGTGAATGCAGAGTCTGTGTGTGTAGTACATGCACAGTGGCCAAAATGTAGATCTGCATATGTTTTACAAGTCCCAAAACGCTTTGCTACCTGGGGACCTACAATTTGCCCATTTTTTTCTGGGCTTTTTTTTTTTAGCACTCAGCAGTGTATGTGTTTTTGAATGTAAGCATGTTTTTGTATGGAGTATGTGTTTATGTGAATGTTGGTGTTTGAATGCAGGCGTGCATTTGTGTGTAGTCTATATAGATACAAACATACATGCAATTACATAGACACAGTTGACACACATGCACACAGGTGCACACTGACACACACACACACAGATGCACAGACATGCAAATATACAGATACACAGTGACACCCCGATACAAACAGACACACACACAGAGATACACACTCAGGTGCAAACTGACACACATATACATACAGACAGACAGACACACTCACACACACTCAGATGCATACACTGACAATCTGATACACAGACACACATTAACATACATGCAAAATACACAGACACACAGTTATACACTCACATGCATACTGACACCCAGATACAAACACACATTGATTGATACACACAGATACACATACACTCAGGTGCACACTGACACAGATAAATAAAGATACACACACAGATACACATGAACATAGACACAGATACACATAAAACCAAACAATATGGTTTTAAAGGGTAAAGAAACAATAAAATAATCAAGTCTATGGGCAGCTTCACACCAAATAAAATTAACTTTAGTTGAGAATCTCTTAAAACAAAGATAGTGTGAGCTTTCCAGCAATAAATAAAAAAATA